AGATATACCCAGTAGATATTATACCCAGTCTGCTTAAGAGCTGCAACTACTTTCCTTTGTATTTGTCACTGAAGAAGGTACATGTATCTTGGTATGAGTGAGGAGTAGAAACAGAAAAGTAGGGAAGCATGAAGTGGCGGGGGAGCATTATACCGATACATGTATGGCGCGGGCATACCAGAAAGCACAGCACTATGTTTTAGAATAATCCATTGCAACACAGGTACAGAAGTATCATGCATACATCTACATGACATGTTGTGCCCCTACCAACCATCCGCAGTACTTCAGGATCTCACAGACCAGTATTTGCTGCTGCTAAGCGTCAAACGTTTATCTTCATGGCTAATGCTTGGATTGTCCCTATCCCGAAAGATTTCTAGGCTCACAGTGTTTTCTTCACTCCACTTATCCAGGTCATATTATCCTTTATCTTTTCTCCTTTTCTATCGTCATCACAATATTGGGCATGATTGTCCGTGTGATTTGCGATGTAAACAACTACAATATCATGTACATGTATGGACTCAGATGGAGAGCCAATGATTAATTTATAGCAAAGAAAAGGACCAAGGAACTACAAGTACGATATTAAAATTAATGTCCTTTCACTGTTTCAGCTTAGGCTTGTCTTGGTTGCGTGCACCTTCCCCTCCTATGTTATAACTACAGAACCTTCCAAGTATGGCTGTTGGAGTGTGCATCCAAGACGTGCTAGAGGTGATTGGCAGTTAGTTGTACAACGTCAGTACCGTCGGTCAGTGTCGTCCAATGCCATCGCATGAGCTGATTGCCAAGTAACTGGTGGTGTTAGTGGACAATATAGCGTAACTTGTAGTTCCTTGGTCCTTTTCTTTGCTACAATACATGTACAGTACATTGCGCTTGCGCCACAAACTCACAATGGTTGTCCACTGATATGATTCATGATGGTAAACGTAGTAAATGCATTGTTGGCATCGTGCTGCTGCTAATGTCATGAGGTATCCCACACTCAGTCTGGCGGTGTCGGAAGCCCACATCTCGCGAGATTAGTTGCCATTTCTCGCTTCCCTCCTGTGGGTTTGTTGCTTATCGTGCTCATGTTTGCATTCAATTTGTTTTGTCCTCTTAGTTTGGCTTATTTTTGGGAACACAACCCCATGCTGTGTGACCAGTCGTGTTGAGTGGAGTACATGCATGTACATGTAAATGCATTGTTTCTCTGTTTTTTTTCATCTCGTATACCTGTACATGTGTGTACTTAGAACGTATAATTATGTAGATGTACATGTATATAACATTTATACTAGTAAAATGCGACTGAAGTCAATGGTAGCATGGCCATCAAAGATACGTTGTACATTGTATATAATTATACATGTACATGTTATACTTATAGGGAGAAAGTATTGAAAGTAAATGGGAAAGAATGGGAAAGAAGGGAGAGAAGCACTCAAGCCAAGCACACCCTCAAAGCACACATGCTGTGAATTCCAGATCATCCTGATCTTTTGAAGTGGGCTATTAGTTACCTGTACATGCAGTGTTTCATTCGGCCACGCGGTGTGCACATCCTTATCACAACGTCTCTAGCTCTTGGAAAATATTTCTATTCATGTAAACTTTTTCCAGAACGTTCCCAGTAACTCTCGTTCCCATAATCTCAATTCGCTTTTAAGGATGAATGCTCCTTGAAGATGGCCGCTGTAGGCTCCATGGTGTGCATGTACAATGTACATGTAGACTCCACGGCCGCATACATTTTTACATGACTGTACTTCAGTTCTACAGAATGATAAACTGCCCAGAAACTTACTTGGCAGTCTATCACAGCCAGAAAAGGCAGAATGTTGCCATGGCATACCATTTTTGCGCCCAAACAGTTCCACTACTACTAAACACTAGTACACTGTATCATCCACTTGCACCGTGAGCAGAACCTGCATTGCTGACCATCGCTGCCTGATTCGCTGGCCGCTGGGATTGGGAAGGACGGGGACTAGGAGCAATGTATTACCTCTTCTGGTCGTGCAGCCGCAGGCAGGGCATGATACTTGTACAGTCGTAGATAGTTGACGGTCACACTGTGTTGATTGGTGTTGATTGGGACTATTGCGATAATGGTGATAGACATTTTTTTTTTTTTTTTTTTTTTTTTTACTATTGAACACTCACTGCATGATGAACTAAAATGAGGAGAAGAACTCGACACAATGGTACATATCCAGCACATACATGTCCATTGTACATGTATATCGCCCTCAACCCCCATCCACCGCGCAGCACATGTGCACGCGCCCGATATGAACATTGAATTTATTTTCATCATAATCCGATCAGCCTGTACTGTCTACATGTACATGTAACACAATTTAATACAATGTACAATATACATGTACATGTGCAGCAGCAAGTACAGGTCTCATGAGTCTTGATATTACATGTGCAAGTACTGAGTAAATCAGCTACGGAGTACCGATACATGTGAATGAACTCCACTTTAAACAGCTCATTGCCAGTGTACTCTCCTTTGCTGGTTCTAGCAAGGAGCGCTGTCCTTTTACACCAGACACTTAGACCACACTTCCTCTTCCCCTGGTGTTCATATCATTTCAGACTTATGTTTTCCGTATTCACTGCAAGCATAGCTCGATTAGTGCATTCATGTACATATGACTACAAACTATTACAGCATTTATCCACAACAAGCGCTCCTTGATGGACGCTCGCGCCTAGGATTCGCAGGAATGAAGTCCAAACTATAGTACTCTTTAGTTTACTTTAATAATAGTACTTACTACGTAGTACATTTATATTATGTACAGTGTAGTCCCCAGTTTGGACTGTGACAGATCCAGCACCGTCTCATTATGGAATGTATTATTGAGTCAGTCACCATGGTAGCATGGAGATATACATGTAGATGGTCTGTATTTGTGACATGCTGCATGGTGGACAGGTATCGCTCATAATAAGTATTAGTTGTAATACGTGCTTGCGTTACTGTTGGGACCAGACAGTAGACGTCTAGACGCAGGACTAGGACTCAGTAGGAGTTATAATAATATATTATGGCCTGCATTGATCACATCCATAGCTACTGTCAGTTACACTCCGTACACACTGACTGCTCAAACATGTGAAGCAGATGAACAACAGGAGGTGTTGCTGTGGTGTTTTCTCCACAACTACCTATGTGTTGGTATTTGCTGCAGTTCATTATCAAGCCACTGGATTGCTTGCTGGAACCCCAGGATCTGTGGAGGTCTGAAAAAGGAGAAAACGTTTTTGTTACAAACATGACGGGGACACGGACAAACTGCAAATATAACGAGAGAGAGAGAGAGAGAGAGAGAGAGAGAGAGAGA